CCCGCTCCGCTCGCGCTGCCCCTCGGTCTCTGTGTCTCTGGCCTCGCCCTGCCGCCCCCAGGGCTTGTCAGCCAGGGGTGTCCTGCAGAGACCGATCCGCCCAGCCCCCTGCCCGGTCTGTGCAGCGCCTGCCTCTGGGCTGCGTCTCTGTGTCACTGATCTCTCGCCGTCTGTCATAACCCGCCCTGCAGCCCTGGCTCCCGCGTGGGGAATGTCCCCGCCAAACGCCCCCAGACACTTCACCATCGCCCCTCAAATCTCAGTGTAAACATCCCATCTGGGGTCCCGGCTGCACAGCGGAACGGCGCGGGAGGCGCTGTTGGAAGGGAGGGCGGCTGAGACATGCTGAACCAGATTGTGAATTCTGCGTAGGATGGGAACCGGATCAAGTTAGCGTCTCTCTCAGCGGTCCTGGATCCAGCCCCTCTAGCTGGGGCTGCCCCCTTTTCCTGCTCCCTCTAACCTCAAAATAGCCCCCAAGACTCCCATCTTCCCCCGCCCTGGGGCAAGTCTTCCCCACATTCCCTCTCCCTCCCCTTGCTGCTTAGCACCGACTCCTCACAGCCCCTGTGCTTCTACCCACTGTGCTTCCCCTAGACAGCCCCTCCGCTGCTCACCAGGGCCAGCCCTCTGCACAGAGGGCCCCGAGAGCCAGCTCTGTTGGTCTCTATCTGAAGAAATGAGTAGTCCTGTGGCCGAGGGAGGATTGGCCGATTTATTTGGGAATAAGCTTTTGTGCGTAAAAACCGCTTTAGTGAATGCATGGAGCCCCTGTGGGTGTTTATCTCCGTCAAAGGGACTGGACTGGAGAAGATGCGGTTGTACTTTAGGGCTTGACGGTAGACAATGGGTCAAGCGAATTGCTCGGGGTGCAAACTACATGAGTGTAGATAAGAAGAGTGGTCGGTAGGCTTCCGGGATAGGCTGGTGATTATGTGACCATCATTTATTTGTGCTGTACTCCACTCGTTGGACAAAGTGGTTTTTACCCCCAAACCACAGGTATCCCTAAACAACTACCCCATATCTTAACCAACCGCCTATTAGTTTGAAATACTTTTGAAAATAACTTGTGCCTTATTTTGGCTTTCCTGTAACTCTCGTTGCGCAAGGGTAAAAGGGATATCTCAAAATAGGGCATTATTTTGAAATTTGCACTGCCTAGATGCACGACCTTTCAAAATAAATTATTTGCGTATCTTATTTTTAGTTTAGGGTGATGTGTAGATGCACTTCAAAGTGCCTCAGGCTTCTAGTTGGGACTGGCCCTACTTTGGACAGGGGGCTAGACTCGATGACCTCCTGAGGGCTCTTCCAGCTCTACGATAAGAAAGGGGGAGGAGACAAAACCGCTCCCCAAATGTTAGCCACAAACAGAAGGCTGCAGGATACTGTGGTGAACAAGCTGAGAGAGAACATGACTGGAGAAATTGTAATTGCACAAGGAGAGGAGAGAAGAATCTTGCGCAGAGCAGCTAGAAGACATTCTAATAAAATCGAATGGCCCGTTTTGTCTGGTGTGTGTCGACTCTCCCATATCCGTGGTAGGCACGTTTTCTCACCATGCTCAGCGCGATTCTAATAAAATCGGATGGTCCGTTTTCTCTGGTGTGTGTTGACTCTCCCATATCCGTGGCAGGCACGTTTTCTCACCATGCTCAGCGCCGGCACAGTGAGGCCAACTGGCATTACAAGGTCAAGGAAAACGAGTCCTGCAGGCCGTGGATGGAAGGGGAATATTGTAGCTAGAGGGTGACGGGCCTTTTTGGTCGGTAACTCACTGGCTGTATTTCTCTCCCTTTGCCCCAGGAAGGAGACCCAAATGGGGCTGGAGAACCGCACCCAGGTGACTCATTTCATCCTCTTAGGGATCCCCTACACTGAGGGCTTCGAGACCATCCTCTTCTTCACCTTCTTAGCCTTCTACCTCTGCACCCTGCTGGGCAACCTGCTCATCTTCTCAGCCGTCCTCGTTGACCCCCGCCTGCACACCCCCATGTACTTCTTCCTCTGCAACCTCGCCGTGCTGGACATGGGCATCTCTTCCCTCAGCGTCCCCAAATTGCTGGCCAGCCTCTGGTTCCAGGATAAGGTCATCTCGCTGGGCGGGTGCATGGCCCAGGTCTTCACTGGTCACTTCCTGGGTAGCACCGAGTGCCTGCTGTACACTGTCATGGCCTTTGACCGGTACGTGGCCATCTGCCACCCTCTGCGCTGCCTGCACATCATCCTCGCCGTGCTGGACATGGGCATCTCTTCCCTCAGCGTCCCCAAATTGCTGGCCAGCCTCTGGTTCCAGGATAAGGTCATCTCGCTGGGCGGGTGCATGTCCCAGGTCTTCACTGCTCACTTCCTGGGTAGCACGGAGTGCCTGCTGTACACCGTCATGGCCTTTGACCGGTACGTGGCCATCTGCCACCCGCTGCGCTACCTGCTCATCATGAACCGCCGGGTGTGCGCCCTCCTGGCTGCCAGCAACTGGATCGCCAGCTCCTTCCACGCCACCATCGTCACCAGCCTGACCTTCACGCTGCCCTACTGCGGGTCCAACGTGGTGGACTATTACTTCTGTGACATCTTCACTGTGGCCAACCTGGCCTGTGGGGACAAGTACATCTTGGAGACCGTGGTCTTCACCAACACTGGGGTGGTGCCCATGAGCTGCTTCGTCCTCATCCTCGCCTCCTACGTCAGGATCGTCTTCTGCATCCTGAAGATGAACGCGGGTGAAGGGCGGCGCAAAGCGACCTCCACTTGCGCCTCCCATCTGGTGGTGGTGACCATGTTCTTCGGGCCCTGCGCTTTGATCTACACTCAGCCACAGCTGAGCAAAGTGCTGGTGACCCCTGTGAACATTTTTGGCAACTTGATCACGCCCATGGTGAACCCGGCCATCTACACGCTGCGCAACAAGGAGGTGAAAGCGGCTCTGAGAAAACTGAGAGGGGGTCAGATGCCTGCACGTTGATGTGCAGCAGATGCAGGAGTAGCATGTGAGTCTGTTTGAAAACCCACCTATAAATACATCGGCATGGCCCCTCGGTGACTGTTGTGACTCTCCCTTCACCCATCCCCACACAGCCCCATGCATCTCTCTGGAGCTCTATCTGCCATAGAAATGCGTCCACAATCCCGAGCTGTCTGCCACCCTGTCAGGCTGCCATTTTCAATGCTGCCCAGGCTCTGAGAAAACTGAGGGGGTCAGATGCCTGCATGTTGATGTGCAGCAGATGCAGGAGTAGCATGTGAGTCTGTTTGAAAACCCACCTATAAATACATCGGCATGGCACCTCAATGACTCTCCCTTCACCAATCCTCACACAGCCCCATGTATCTCTCTGGAGCTCTATCTGCCATAGAAATGCTTCTACAATCCCGAGCTGTCTGCCTCGCTGTCAGGCTGACATTTTCAATGCCGCCCGAGGAACAGGCGCACTCAGTTTGCATCAGAATGAATCGGAACTGGAGACACAAACTTTGTAGAGATCTCTGAAAGTCTCAGCCTCATAGCACAGATCTGTCGAGCTCGAACTCTCCGTCCATCATTATAGGGCAGGATTTCCACTGCCAGGATTCTCACGGCTGCTGTGTGCGTCCTCTCCAAGCAATCCGCCCCTGGCTTGAGTTGTGCACGCCAGACCCGGGCAGAGTATTCAACCGGTGCTGGCACCAGAGGTGAAACCGCCTCTCTCCTACTCAGAAATGTTCCCTTCTGTGTCCCAAGGTCACCTGAGCTGTGCGGCTCCTGCTTTGTACTGGGGGCTCTCGTTCAGCTAAGTGTACATCTCACGGCTGCTGTGTGCATCCTCTCCAAGCAATCCGCCCCTGGCTTGAGTTGTGCACGCCAGACCCGGGCAGAGTATTCAATCGGTGCTGGCACCAGAGGTGAAACCGCCTCTCTCCTACTTAGAAATGTTCCCTTGTGTGTCCCAAGGTCACCTGAGCTGTGCGGCTCCTGCTTTGTACTGGGGGCTCTCGTTCAGCTAAGTGTACACTCGTGCACTGAGGGAGGCAGCCGGAGTCTGCCTGCTGGTGTCTTTGCACAGATCCGGGGGGCAACTTCCAAAGAGCCACAAGCCCAGACTTTGATGCCTGGGGAAAGTGACCCCGGAGTGGGAGGTCAGAGCCGGTCAACCGGTGCTGGCACCAGAGGTCAAACCGCCTCTCTCCTACTCAGAAATCTTCCTTTGTGCGTCCCAGGATCACTGGAGCTGTGTGGCCCCAGTTTTGTCCTGGGGGGCAGCCAGAGTCTTCCTGCTGGTGTCTTTGCACTGACCCGAGAGGCAGCTTCCAAAGAGCCACAGGCCCAGACTTTGGTGCCTGGGAAAAGCAACCCGGGAATGGGAGGTCACAACGATTTTAAAATCAAGGCAGCTTCTGATGCGCAATGGGAAACCACCATTGATCTCCAAGTTCTGGGCACTGGGTGGGCCTAGAAGCAAAAGCAGGGGCAGCTGGTGCTTTCTGTGTTTATTACCAGAAAGCTGTCAGTTCGACACAACTACATTTGAATAGCCCGTGGGAATTATTTGTAAACCGTTATGTTGTGACTAAGACAAATACTTGGAACTCAGAAAATCTGGGTTCCAGAACAGGCTGTGTAGCGGAATCTCTGCTTGCCCTTGTGCGTGTCACAACATTGTTTTATGCCTCAGTTTCTCCATTTGTTATACATGGATCATTACATCTTTTGTCATTCTCAGCTATCCGAGGTAGCACATTGAGGCAGCGACTGTCTCTGTGTGCCTGTGCAGTGTGTTGCATAAACGGAGCCAGATCAGAGTTCCACACAATAGGCCCTGCCATAATACTCATGATAATAATAGTGAAAAACAAATAAAAACAGCGTCATAGAATCCTAGGACGCTAGAACTGGAAGGGACCTCGAGAGGTCCTTAAGTCCAGTCCCTTGCCCTCACAAATAGGACCGAGCACCCTGCGTTGGGTGACCTCATTTCCCGCCCCCACATTCCCCGAGCTAGGGGGGTTGGACCATTCTGACCCAAATCCCAGTGAAGTCAGAGGGGATATTTAAGTGGCTTCCATTGGCATTGGCTCAGGTTCTGCATAGTTGGAGGGAGCGCTGCGCAATGGAGCCTGGGGCCAGGGGGCTCCGGACACGTGCTTCCAAATCAGGAACAGAGAGAGGAGGGAGCAAAGGATCGGAGCAGAGAGGAGAAGGAGGAAGACAGGACGTTAACACCCTGCCAAAGGCAGCTCCGCGTCTGTGGAATCCCTGTGAATCTTCCTCCTCATCTTCATCGTCCCCCTGCTCCTTTTCCCGTTGGGGCATCCCCAAGGTTTAGCTGCCGAGCAGCCATCTCAAAAAGGGGACCCCGCATTGCCCGGCCCCAGAGAGATGAGGTGACAGAGATTGTGTTAACACGAATCGGGCCACACACGAGCCTGGGATGAGCCTTGGACTCCCAGAGGAACATCGCTCTGTTCCAGCAGTGTCTGGATTAGAACAATGTCTGCAGGGCAGGAACAGTCAAATGCTGCCCTGCATGTGGCCCTCCAAGTTGCCCCCACACCCGCATACTTCGCTCCAACTCCCCCAGAATGGGCAGGGTCGCTCCCACCGGTTGGTAAACGTAAGGGCAGCGGGGGCTAACCCTGGTGAACAAGCGACTGCTCATTGCTCAGTCTCGGTGCAGGCTGGTCTCTTTCGCACTGCGGGAAGCCCCCACGCAGCCCCCGCCCCCGCCACAGACTGGGCGCTGGAGCGTCCCCTCGATGGGCACACGTGCGGCCTGGCCAGGCAGAGCGAGAGATTTAAACCGGCACCTCTCTCCCCGCGTGCAGGGCCCGCCCGTGATGAGACACGCTCGCGCGCTCTGCTTTACACTCGGCCTTAGGGGGCAGCATCGGCCGGGCCCGTTCCCATTCCTGCGCGGCCGCCCCCGCCACAGACTGGGCGCTGGAGCGTCCCCTCGATGGGCACACGTGCGGCCTGGCCAGGCAGAGCGAGAGATTTAAACCGGCACCTCTCTCCCCGCGTGCAGGGCCCGCCCGTGATGAGACACGCTCGCGCGCTCTGCTTTACACTCGGCCTTAGGGGGCAGCATCGGCCGGGCCCGTTCCCATTCCTGCGCGGTGGGATCCTGAGGATGCGGGGATCGACGGGAGCAATGAGTTGACCTCATGTCCCTGAGGAGCATCCCGGGGTCCGAGGGAGCGTGACCCCTTGGGGAGCCTTTGGCAGGGGAACAGGGCGCGTGAGACTCTCTGTCACCCAGGGGAAGCTAAAGCGGGATTGCTCGCAATGGGGGTTAGGATACTTTGCAATGAGCTGGTGCCTGATGCGGGGGAGGGGGGGGGGGT